CGATTTATATAGAAATGCAAAATATTTAGGACAATCAAACAATCTTTGGAAAGAAGAACAATTCTGGAAAAATTGCACTACCTAATATCAAGATTTCTGTAATGCTAAAAAACATCACTGGCATAAAGATAGAAAAAGAAATCAATGGAACACAATAGAATGTATAGAAATAGACTCACACCTAATCAATATATTTTTAATAAAGGTACCAATGCAATTCAATGAGTAAAAGAAAAGATTTTCAACAAACTTGCTGTAAAAACCTAGTAAATGTATGAAAACAAAATGAATTTCAAAACCTATCTGAAATAATATATAAAAATTAATTTGGGAGGGGGACCAAATGAAAGAAGGTGACAGGATCAGCCAAAGAATATACATGCATAACCCATAGACACAGTTAACTTGTGGTGTTGGCCAGAGGGAGGGGGTGCAGAGGGGGCTAGGGCTGGGTGGAGGTGGGCAAAGCAGGGAGAGGGGAAAAAGGGCATTTGTAATAGTGTAAACCAATAAAATAAAGTTGAAAAAACTAATTTGAGATACCTCATAATCATAGATGTAAAAGCTAAAATAATAAAATTTGTAAAAGAGAACATTCAAAATGCCTTTGATCATGAGTGTAGACAAAGATTTTTTAGATAGGGCACGAAAATAATAATCACAAGAGAAATAAGGAGATAAAGTAGACTTCCATAATTTAAATGTCTGCTCACCATATATTCTTTAAGAAAATAAAGAGCCAAGTCACCATCTAGGAGAAAAATATTAGCAATGCATATATCTGACAAAGGATTATATTGATAATATGTGAAAACCTTCTAACTACTACTCAATAATAAAAAAGGCAAACAACCAAATTTTGAAAAATAAAGACAAAAGACATGAACAAACACTTCTCAGAGGAATATACACAAATGACCAATAAGCACATTTTTAAAAGTGCTTGATATGTTGGTCAACTAGCAAACACAAATTAAAGCAATAATGAAATACTCTCCTACACTCAGGAGAGTGGCCAAAGTATAAAGACTGACAAAATGAAATGTTGGTGAGAATACGGAATTCATATACTAGTAGAGGAGTTTCCTCTTATTTGTGGGAAATATGTTCCAAGAATCTCCAGTGGATGCCTACAACCACAGGTAGCACCAAACCCTATATGTGTGTACATACCAATGATAAAGTTCAATTATAAATTAGGCAAAATAAGAGGTTAACAACAATAAGTAATAATGAAATTGAACAATTCTAACAATCTACTGTAATAAAAGGTATGTAAATGGCTTTGAGGCCAATATTAAGTAAAATAAGGGTTACTTGAACGCAAGCACTGTGATACCATACCACAATAGTCAATCTGATAACTTAGATGGCTATGAAGTGACTAAGGGGGCTGGGGAGCATCACAGGGTGGGCATGCTAAACAGAGATGAGTCACGTCCCAGTCAGGACTGAGTGGGATGGTACAAGATTTCATCATGCTTCTCAGGGTAGCACACGATTTAAAACATATGAATTGTTTATTTCTGGAATTTTCCATTTAATATTTTCAGACCATGGCTTACTGTGAGTAACTGAAACCAGGGAAAGTGAAACTGTGGATAAGGGGAAACTACCGTATGTTTCTTTTAAGAATGCAAAATAATGAAGCTACATTGAAGAAAAAAAAAAAAACTGGCAGTTTCTTATGTAGTTAAAAACACCCAATTTATGGCCCACAAATTCTACTCCTAGGAATTTACCAAGAGAAGTAACAATATATGTGGACAAAAAGTTAAAAAAAAATGTTCATGAAAGTTTTATTCTAAATAGTACCCCCCAAAAAATTAAGAGGAGAATGGATATTAAAACTGTGGGATTTGGGGTAGAATACACTCTGTAACAAAGAGAAAAGGGATACTCTGCTTTATATGCACCAAGTGGATACCTTTCAAAAACAATAAGCTATGCAAGAGAAGCTAGATACACAAAAAATACATACTTTCTGCTTCCATTCTATGAGGTTTTAGAATTGGCAAAACTAATCTATGGTGAAAAAATGAGAAAAGTGGTTCCCTGGAGTGGGAGGCTAGGATTGACTGGAAAGGGGCACATGGGGATTTTCTCAAGATGGAGAAGCTGTGTATCTTGACAGGGGTGTGATTACACAGGTGTTTGCATTGTTAAAACTCTGAACTATAATACTTAATGCCTCCTCATGTGACAATATATAAAATATACATTTTTAAATTAGAGGAAAATATAATAAATAATTTCCTGTCAAAATTATTCAATCAGGATCCTTTTAGAAGTGAAAATTATTGCCATATAAAGAATGTAGGATTTTAGGTGATTTTTAAATTTTGTATTTTTTTTTTTTTTTGGTTATTTATTCAGCAATTATGAGTACCTACTACGTGGCTGTCACTGTTCTAGGTGTTTTGACAACATCGGTGAGCAAAACAGATAGAGATGCCTACTTTCAAGTTGATAACAATCTATAGAGGGAAGTAGGGTGAAAAATAGATTATTAGGAAAGCCATAATACACAAGCAAATGTACTGTTTAAAAAACTGAGACGTGCTGAGAAACAAAGTCTGTGATACTGCCATATGATGCCCAACTGCTTAACACCATTTTTAAAAAGTTATGGTTATGCTTTTATTAACTGATTAGCACTTTTGTCTTTATTAATTGATTAATCATGTATTAGAAGCACTCCAGAAATAGGGGTGTGTGTGTGAGTGTGTGTGTGTGTGTGTGTGTGTGTGTGTGTGTGTGTTTTGAAATGTGCTGAGTTATCATCATTGTTTTATTCCTCAAGCTTTTGCAATATTTAATGCCTGAATAAATATATATCAAGATGTCACCTGGGGTAGGTAAGAGGGCTGGTTTCAAGGACACTGTGTTCAATGCTAATCACATTTCACGTGGAACCAAGTCATAGTGCAGCTCTTTTTGTCTTCTGTATAAAAGACAAGCTGCCCAAATATAACAGAATTCAGGCGCCCAAGTCATTAAGATGTGGTTGTACATAAAAGATGCAGCACTGATAATTCAAAATTGACAAGAAGAATCTGCTCTAGGAATAATTCTTCTCTCAGTCAGACTATCTGGCACAGAACATGCATAAAGCCCTAGTTTTCTCCTTCAGTGCCCTGCCGTGAAAGAGTCACTGAGCCAGCTTGTTATCTGCCAGTACAGTGAGTGGTGGAGGCCTTCAGCTATGGAGAGACTCCTTATGTCTTTTTTTCACAAGCCATAGACTGAGAACATAAGAAATCCTCCAACAAAAAGGAATAAAACAACAATTGAAAAGTTTCTGCAATGAGATTATTCAACTTAGAAAAATATTAAGGCCCATGTTGTTTTTCTTCAGCTAGAAAACATACACAGAAGTAAAGTATTGTTTGCTCTTATTTGTCATTTTTAATCACATATCTTAGAATAATCAATCAGGTTCTGTATATGTGCTAATCAACTTCCAATCAAGTTCTGTGTATGTACTAATGGACTTCCAATCTTAAATACATGCAGCATCAGAGGATTCAGAATAACATGCTTATTTGCCAGCTAACTGCTTCTGTTCCCCTGCCTCTTTGCCTGCACATATATAATGCTGCTCACACGGAATTCTGCTGAAATGCTACCCAGTTTTCTAGTTCCAAATCAAGTCCCTTTCCTTGGGGGAGCGTTCCTCACCAATATCATCAGAAGTGCCCTGTCCCTCCTTTCAGCTCACACAGCACGATTCTGTCCCACTTACTTGGTCTAGAATTGTAACAGATAATTTTCTGACTACAATCATCCCTCTTGGAGGCTCACAGCCTGGTTGGGGGATAATCAGAATTGTAGGCTCTACACACAGAACCCAATTTCAATCTAGGTTACATTTGGAAAATTGGTTTGTAAATGTTGTTATTACAGCTATGACCATGCCCTGGCCAATCCATAAAAGCTTATCACACTCAAACATCATCTGACGTATATTGTCAATAGCACCCTTCACATAATTGTTTTCTGAGAAAATGCATTTTCTCAGAAAAACATATATGTGATTTTGTTCTACACTGTCAACATTAAGCTGATTAAAAATGTTTAGGTGATCAAATATGCTTAAATGGTTATTGATGATGAAATATTCTATAAAGCCCCACAAATTGGTGTATGGCCTCCTAAGAAATCCACAGGATTCATCTTCACCCTACATCTTCCAGTTTTCTGCTTAGCAGCTGCTGGGAAACCTTAGATCAACGGTTCTCAACCTGTGGGTCGCGACCCCTTTGGTGGTCGAACAACCCTTTCACAGGGGTCGCCTAAGACCATCCTGCATATCAGATATTTACATTACGATTCATAACAGTAGCAACATTACAGTTATGAAGTAGCAACGAAAATAATTTTATGGTTGGGTCACAACATGAGGAACTGTATTTAAAGGGTCAGAGGTTGAGAACCACTGCCTTAGATGAACTTTGAATGTTGCATGGTTTCCATCAATTAAGAAAATACCTGTCAAAATGGGGTGGGATCACTGGTATTGACTATAATATGGCACACAGCACACCTTGCATCAATTTCAAGGATATTCCTATGAAAGGGGCTTGGGTTTGCTTTAAGCCATCAAAGGAAGTCAATGTATTGTCCTGTTTTGGCTGAATTCATAATAGCATAAAATTTTTAAATAAGATCATGCTATTTGGCCTTTTTAGCATCTTCTCTCATACTGCTCATGTACAAAGCACTCATTAGAGAAGGTGTTTAAAGATAAAGCAGAAGAAAAAATATCTGGCTTATGGATGGGTGGCTTTGATCTGAAAAAATAGTCAATAAAAATAGGGAAATAAACTCTTTGAAACAAAGGGGATCACAAAAATTGAGCTAATTTTCTGCTCATTTCCTTTTTCTCCTATTCCCTTGGATGAGTCTACTTAATAAGAATAATCATGCCAATTTGTGAAAACACAAACCTTTCTCTGAAAGCCCAGTTCTGGGGTAGAAATTAGCAGAGTTTCTCTTACCTCTTAGTTCCCCCATATCCAGAGTTGTCCCAAGTTGTTCTAATAAAGCAACTCTTGCTGCATTCTTTTTGTGTTTCTTCCCATCATAATGCTGCTGGGCCATCAGGGGATTATTAAACCAGGCTGCGCAGAGCCCACAGTATCTGTCTGAATCTCTTCTTTGATAGGGAGATGTGACCACCGGAGCAGTGTCCACCCTTGGAGGCTTAAGTGAGCTCAGGGGGGTTGCTGTGGAGGCAAACAACCAGAGAGAAGTACAAGACAGGTTAGTACACTTGTCCTCAGTCTCTGAAGGTGGAAGAGTCTCATGTTCATAGGAAAGCTCAAAAATCCAAGAGTTTATTGAGAGCAGAACAATAATCTATGCCAGCCTTTGTTTTTGAACTTGGGATACAACTGAAAATTCTAATAGTTCAGGAGATCATTCCTTATAAAGAAAGAAAGATTTTTTAAATAAACTCTTGGAGATAGGGAGTGATCTGCTAATCAAAGTGAAGCCAAACTCTGAAGCAAATATTGAATGATCATGACTTGAAATATTCTAAATGAATGAATGAATGAATGAATGAATGAATGAGATATTTGTGTCATAAGTAGAAATCACCAATAAATAAAGGATTTGCCTGAGTGATTGCAAATCTTTCAGTGCTATGGACTGTACCAATTGACAAAATCATGCTAATTTTACTCTAAGTTACTTCTTTTTAGTGTGACAGGTTATTTTCAACTTTTACCTGCTAACATTGATGTTGAAAGTACATTTTTTAAGATCAAAAGACTAACACCACAGAGCACATGTTGCTTCTCTAAACTGAAAAGACATATATCACTATTCTGAGATTCCAGTCCCAGCTATTAATTTAACACATTCCACTGTGAACTATAGTTATTTTTGGTCCAGAAAAAAATGAACCCAACCTGATGTTTACTAGCAGAAAGTAAAAAGAAATAATAATAATAACTTCTTAATGCATTACACCATGCACATTGCTTTTAGCCTCATAATAACGACTCAGATTATTGTCTCATTTCCCTGATGATGGACTTCAGAGACACCAAATGATTTACTAAAGGTGAGATAACCAGTTATGGTAAAGGTAGGACTCCAAACCAAATCCTTTGTTTCCAAGACCAATGTTCCTTTTTGCTACCCCTAGGGACTCTTTCCATACTTCTTATTAAGCAAAGAGATTTTTTTTTCTAGACCTCAGTCATCAATTTTATATATGATTTAATTTAACTAAGGGGAAAATTTCTGATCCAAATATTTTGATGAAGGCAAAGAAACGTAAATTCCCACATAGCACATCAGTCATAATGTCATGCAGTAGTACTTGCTGCTTGTTTTTTCCCTCTGTGATTCAGAGGGCAGCTGAACGTCATTCAAGGAAAAGCTGAGATATGGAAGCTTAATCAATAAAAAGATAAGCAACCACATAATTAACCCTCTAAGCTTTCGAATAATTTTTATGCAAACTTCTATTTTTTAGATTAAATAACTGATATAGAAATAAATATTTGCTGAATGACATTTTAATTCAAGAAATGCCCACAGTGGAACAATATCTCAAGAAAGTATTTTCCTCTCTACCCAGAGATTTCATCAGGTAAGAATGTTTTAACTAGCTTGGATGAAACAATGGTATTATTTCTCTAAGATAAATAAGGACTTAGAAAAATAATACTTCTTTTAAAAGTTTGTTGCCAGATTCCGTCATAAATCACTATGTGAAACTAAAGCTCAGATGTGGGCCTTACCATCCTAGCAGTCACCCAGAATCATTCTGCTGTGACTTAGAAATTCTAATAAGAAGCTGCAAATACGCTCTTGACCTGCATGGGAAAGGACTTCTATCCACTTTTCTGAAGGAAATTAGATTTTGCTTCCAAAGTTTCCTGCATCCTTATCAATTTTTGAGGATTTATAACTGCCTGTTGTTTTCAATGACAACAGAAAACATATCAAATGTTTGCAATCTGAATGAATGTTGACTCTTGAAGCATAATTTACTTCCCTCTGAACTGGGCCCTAAAAGAACATTTCAGAGTCAAATTTATCAATTGATACTTTATGCACCACATTCTAGCAGGAGTGATGCACAATAGAATATTTGTCAAATAAGATAGTAATCTTATCTTGCATTTAAGAGTGCAGTTTGATGCCGCATCTGTACTATAGCTTCTCCCTCTTTAATAATTCTGTTCTCTGTATAGGCCCAAAATTTAATTTTCTTATGATTTGTTTCCAACTGTCTTCACCAATCTCAATTCAGTTTATATTTCATATAAAGGCAAACTAAGCAGGATGAGGGAAATGAAAAGATCTTCGAATCAAAGTATGGACTCGAGGTTGAGTTGGACTCCCCCACCATTGAGCTGTGTGACCCACAGGCCAGTCTACAGAGAAGTAGGAGTGGCCTATTTCTATGTATTTCAGGGAAGGCAAATATGCACATCATTCAAGAAATTTTACTTTCAAACAGGAAGCCATCTACTCTGTTGTTTTTTTGTTTTGTTTTTTTTATCATGGCATCCAGACGTCACTCCAAGCTTCTGGCCTGGTACCAACCACCCTAGTTTGCCTACGACTGAGAGGGTTCTCAGGACATGGATCTTTCAAGTGCTAGTCCTGGGAAAACTGGAATGAGTTGGTCACCCAGGTTCTGGGTTAGACCTGATTTAACATCACTGTGGAGAATCAGGAGTTAGTGAAAAGTTTGGCAACAATTATTCAAGAGCCTAGAGCAGGTACACTTTCAACCAAGCAGAGATGACCCACCAATAGATTTCAAAGCTTCACTTGTCAGATCACCAAGCAGGTGTCCTTAGCCAGATTAGATGGTAACACAGTCAGCAAACAATGGGATTCTCACCCACCTATCTATCTTCTAAACCAGGGACACGGGGTACCCTTCAACCCCCACACCTGGGGTTTCTACTAACATTCTCTTGTCTCTCTCTCTTTCTCTCTCTCTCTCTCTCTCTCTCTCTCTCTCTCTCTCTCTCTCTCTCTCTCTCTCGCTTTCTAGGTTTTAGGATAACGAAAATTATCCCATTCTCAAAAAGGATTTGGGAACTTTTGAAATAATTTAAGGAATTTACCCATTTGAAAGGATGTGGTTTTCTCACCTAAGGCATTCATATCCATAATACAAATTAACCTAAGTTGTGTGATATTCTGCAATTAATACATTATATCTATTTCATGTATTTTCTTTAGTTGCCCTCAAATTCCATTTGACCAAAAGGGTAGCTTGAAGTTTGGGGGAGGGGGGTAAATCAATTGGTATTAGCCCCCTAATAAAAAGCAGCGAAGGAAATAGCGAAGACCAGACCTTGGGACTGGAAGACCAACACTGTGTTTCACTGTCAACTAGCTTCCTGTGATGCTCAGGAAGCAATAGGCCGGATAAACATACAGATAAACTGTAGAGTCAGAGCACATTTTCTAGGCTTCAACACCTGTTCTCAGTGGGGATTACTTGGAAATACGCACTGTCTCTAAAATAATTTTTCTGATTTCTAGTCCCTCTGATAAACTGCCGTCCCTCCTCTGTTTTTCCTATCCTAAATCAAAATAACAATGACAGTAGGAATTCTTCAGCAAGTATCACTGTTTTTTTCTGCAAATGCTGTTATGAGTTCAATTTGACTGGGTCAGTCATTACTGGCCTGAGGAGACAGCTGTCAGTGTAGATTGACAACTCAGTTTCCAAACAGGCCCACGTTTCCTGCAGAAAAACGCTCAACGCAAACTGTGCAAAGTCTGGGCTCAAAGTAGATTTTCTTTGTATCTCTCACAAAGGATGTGTAGATGGCAGATACTCAAAAATCACGTGAAGAATTAATGAAAAAATATACTAGTGAATTTCAGTAAATATCAACTCAGGGGATTTTTATGTTTTAATAAATAACTTATGAAAGCTAAATTTTGAATCTTTAATGGTTTCATTAAAACTTATTTTAAGGGGTTAAAAATAAATTAGATGAACCCAACCTGCATGACTCAGTGGTTGAGAATTGACCTATGAACTGGTAGGTCACAGTTTGATTCCCCCTCACGGCACATGCCTGGGTTGCTGGCTTGATCCCCAGTGGGGGGGGGGGGGGCATGCAGGAGGCAGCCAATCAATTATTCTCTCTCATTCTCATCACTGATCTCTCTCTCTCTCTCTCTCTCTCTCTCTCTCTCTCTCTCTCTCACCCCCCCTTTCTCCCTGAATTTAATAAAAATATATTTTTTAGCCCTAACCAGTTTGGTTCAGTGGATAGAGCATCAGTCTGCAGACTCAAGGGTCCCGGGTCCTGGGTTCAATTCGGGTCAAGGGCATGTACCTTAGTTGCAGGCATATTCCCAATGGGGAGTGTGCAGGAGGCAGCTGATCAATGTTTTTCTAACTCTCTATCCCTCTCCCTTCCTCTCTGTAAAAAATCAATAAAATATATTTTTTTAAAAATATATATTTTTTTAAAAAAGGAGAAAAATAAATTAGATGATAAATTAAATATATTATGTACATCTATACTCTGAAATACCAGGGAGTAATAAAAAATCTGTGGTGTGTGTTTGTTTTGTTTTTTTGAAATGTTTGGGATATAAAGTAAATTAAAAGATATGGTTTAGCCCTGGATGGTATGGCTCAGTTGGTTGAGCATTGTTCCATGCACCGAAGGGTTGCTGGTTCGATTCCCAGTCAGGGCACATGCCTGGGTGTGGCCTTGATCCCCAGTCAGAGTGGCCGATTGATGTTTTGCTCTCACATCAATGTTTCTCTCTCCCTCCCTCTCCCTTCTGCTCTCTCTAAAAATCAAGAAAAAAGTCTTTTAAAAACGATATGGTTTACTAGTATATGTAGGGTATAAACCAAATTACTTATTTTTAAATTATACAAACACATGCAACTATACGTAAAGACTAGAAGGCCATAAATGAAAATCTTAGCAACAATTGTTTCTAAGCTGTGGATTCTGGGTGATTCATTTTATACTCATAAATATATACTCATTGCTGCAGAGGGAGAACATTTATATTTTATCACTTATATATGGGTCATATTTCATGCTAACTTATTTTGGTGCAAAGTCTAGACAACATGCTTAGGGGACTGTGGTGCCACAACTAGGTCTTAAATTAAATCTCAGAAGATTTTATTTGCAATGATTTATTTATTAATTTATTGTTGATTTGGGGGAGAAATTGGCTGGGAAAATGCTGGCTTAGTCAGAAT